GGAACAGGGTGTTCAACATCAATGCCCAATGTCATGCAATAATTATCAAATGTTTGAGACGTAAATTCACCAGTATTATCAAGTCGGATTAACTTAATGGAATAATCTGGGAACTGTGCTTGTAACTTAATTATCTGAGCAAGAAATCTCGCAAAGGCTACATTCCGAGTAGACAAGAGACAAACATGTGACCATCGGGTAGATGCATCAACCAAAACCATAAAATATCGAAATGGTCCACATGATGGTTAAATAGGTTCACAAATATCCTCTTGAATTCTTTGCAGAAATGATGGGGATTCAGCATCAACCTTTAATTGTGATGGTCTAATTACCAACTTCCTTGAGAACAAGCTTTGCAAGGGTTATCATCTGAGGCAGCAATGTGTCTGCTCATTAATGGATGTCCATTAGAGTTGGTAATGATCCTACGCATCATGGTAGATTTTGGATGACCCAGACGGTCATGCCAAAACATGTAAACTTTTGAATCAATGAACTTCTGGTTCATAACAGTATGTGATTCAATTGTTCTTATGTATGTATAATGCAATCCACTCAACATACCACGCAACTTCTCCAATATACGCTTTTGGGTATCATTGGAAGTAATGCATAGATACTCCACATTTTCTGCACTTTTTGTTTCAATGTGGTATCCATTTAAACGTATGTCTGTGAAACTCAATAAATTTCGAGTAGATCAAGTAGCATACAATGCATTCTGTATGGAGAATATTGTTCCATTTGGTAACATAATCTGGGCTTGCCTTGAACCTTCAATTACATCTGAAGGTCCTGATATTGTTGTTACCCCTACTCTTGTAAGTATTAAGCTTGAGAAATACTTTCGATCACGAAGTATTGTATGTGTGGTTGCACTGTCTGCAAGACAAATATTTCTGCCATTTCTCATGTTCTGAGAATAACCACAGTTTTTATCCATACTCTCTGAGTAAGAGAATCAGAGTTAAAAGCAAGTTATAACAAGAAATTTACATGCCACTTTTATTTAATCTGAAATACTACAAGTTCAGCATAATAAAAGTACATCAATGTTTTAATCGGACCGGTATACTTCATTTCCCATTTCCACAATAAAGTTTGGAACATCTAGATGAGTTGTGTTCAATTGCCCTGATAAGTCAAACACTGGATCAGGTATATCCATTGGTCTAGCCTGGTGAAGAAAATTGGTCTCGACACCCTTCTCCTTGAGGGAGGCTTGATACAGATCCACTAGATGTTTTGGAGTACGACAAGTACGCGCCCAATGCCCATTGCCACCACACCTATGGCAGACTCCTTCAGAGTTTTTAGGAGCATTGTTCATATGAGCTTCGCCTTTGTTGCGATTCACATTTTTGAAGCTCGGGCCTGAATTATGCCTCGGAACCTGGTTGTGAAACTGAACTCCATGGTTCTTGCCTTTCCTATTCCATCGACCTCGCTTGTGGCCACGTCCTCGTTTATGCTTATCACCACCAGAGGATGTGGCATTCACTTCGAGGGAAGCAGCATTCACTTCTGGGAATGGTGCAGATTCAGTAGGCCGGGAATGATGATTTTTCATCAGGAGCTCATTATTCTGTTCAGCTACGAAGAGCACAGATATCAGCTGGTTGTACTCAGTGTAGCCTCGCGCTCTATACTGCTGCTGCAGGAGCACGTTGGAGGCATGAAATGTGCTGAGAGTCTTTTCCAGCATATGTTCCTCAATCATAATGTCCCCACAGTGCTTCATCTGAGATGTAATTCTAAACAATACAGAATTGTACTTTGCCACTGACTTGAAGTCTTGGATCCTCAGATGAGTTCACTCATAGCGGGCCCTTAGAAGAATCATCGTTGTCTGGTGATTGTATCTGTTTCTCAAGGCATTTCAGAGAGCTAACGGATCTTCAACCGTTAAGTACTCGCTCTTTAGCGCCTCATCAAGATGGTGACGAATGAAAATCATGGCCTTTGCCCGATCTTGAGAGGATAAGCTGCTCTCTTCCCTGATGGTATCTCCAAGATTCCCTGCTTCCAGATGGATCTTGGTATCCAGTACTCAGGTCAGGTAATTCTTTCCGATAATATCCAGGGCAGCAAATTCAAGCTTCGCCAAGTTCGCCATTTTCTTTTCTGAAAGAAAATGAGAAGTGTAAGAACTTGCAATAATATGTATTCCTGGAGGAATATGATGTTAAAACTTCTGGTTCTTACAAATTTTTCATTTTGATCTTCAGGCCAAAATGATAAGCACTTGAAACTTCTGGCTTGAGATTTTCAGGGTGAATGAGAAGGGCGATTGTACCGCACCATTCTCATTGAAATAATGTAATATAGAATGGACGATTATTCTGCACCACTCAAGTAACAGGAAAATTTAAATATGCAGAGTAGTGTGAACGATTATATCGCACCATATAAAATTGCAATGAAATTAAACGGCAGGTAAATTTATATATGTAGGGTAGGGTGGGCGATTATACTGCTCCACCTAAAATTTGCAGTAAAATTAAATCTACAGTCCAAGATAAGCGATGATACCACACTGTCTTGGATCGCAGTAAGAATAAATTTGCAGTTCAAGATGAGCGATTGTACCGCATTATCTTGAATTGCAATAAAATTAACATAAATAAATACTGGGTTAGTAATCAATCTCTACACCAAACAAGTAATCAAAGATGTATGTAACCGTTAGATTGAGAACTAAGAGCAGGCATGGAGCAAACAGTTCATCGCGAAGGTATACCGCGCAGTTGAGGCAGAGGAAGAAGATGAACAGTAAAAACCTTAAAGAAACATTTTTTCTTTCTTTCGTTCGTTCGGCGAAGAGAAATGAGAGAATAATTATATTTAGAAGACTCGTGCTGATAATGTGTTATAAAAAGGTCAAAGTTAGAGGAATAACCTTTTAATGGTAGGTGCAAGGTAGATGTAAAATGCCACACTAAAACTATAACACAAACAGATAACAAATAAAAGGCAGATAAATAGATGATGTTACTGATATTTTTCTCTCGTTCTCTTCTTCTTATATTTTCTGTAACTTGAAAACATACGGAGTGCTCTATTTATAGAGCAACTCCAAACTGATGCATTAACTGCATATTGAAACTTACGACATTTCCTTTGACAATACAATTTCTATGTATTTTCATATTCAACTTTTACTTTGCATGGGCATTGAAAACTTCTGCCCATACTAAAGAATTCTACTAATGAATTGTGGGCATTCATTACCCATCAGACTTTTCAACACAATTATATATTTACATTAAGAATGAAAGATTCTGTCATAATAAATTGACCTATAACAACCATGATCTGGTCTTCAAACAGGATGCCAGCTACGCCGGCTCAAAGTCTAAGTATAGGCGTGAGTTGTAGATCTAAATATAGTCAAGTTGGCTACAGTGCTCCTTCTACACATAATTTAAATCACCCTTTCAATATATTTACACTAATGAGTGAGAAGACTAAAGCGGTATTGAACTCGTTATTACAAGATTCAAACCTATATAGAAACTTTTACAAAATGACAATCTAGACAACAACATGAGTTGGTCTCTGTTTGTTTGTTTGTTTTTATTTTTTTATTTTTTTAACAAACGACATATCTACAATAAAGGGATGGAGGAATAAGTTAAGCCTTGCAATGTGCTAACAATAATGTGATTCAAATTTGCCTTTGACGAAAATCGAACCTAAGATCTCTCACTTACAAGTGAAGAAATATACCACTCTAGACCTTAATACTAAGTGGTGAGTTGGTCTCTGTTATATATGCTTGTGTCTTCTTTGTTTGCCGAAATATTTATGGGGACCAAAGTATCAACCCTTATCTTCTCCATTTCAATCCCGACACCATAACCGGACAACTCATGTCATTGGCCAGGCATACATACAATCCTGCGTTTCAAAGGGTGTAGAGCTGTTCCAAGAAAATATGTTGGGACACTGAATTTTCTTTCTGGTTGCAGAGATGAGTGTGAAGATGAGAAGATAAAGGGAAATTATCTACCACATAACCAACCCGTAATGACATCTATCTCTAGCTATATTACAACAATATCAACAAAATTGTTAGAACACCGACACGACATACTCAATATCTACGATATCTCAATACTATATCTATACACGGACATCAATATGAACATCGTATAAACAATATCTACACTATCTCAATAGTCTATCGACACTTATCAGGAATATCTAAAATTTCTCACATGGGTACTTTAGGCATTTTCATCCTTCCGCCCCTGTCATTAGTGTCTTTCACTTCTTTCTTTCTATTTCAACAACTAACGCTTGAAAATTTTCCATTATAGCTAATTACCCAAAAATATTTGTCAATCGTTTACCCATGTTTGTTTTCTCACTGCCTAAAAAACAACTCTGTAACAAGGACACTCAGATGAGTAAGGCAAACATCATATATGAACCGAAGATCACCAACAGCAACAAGCTGGGCAATCAAACAGCCACTGGATCTGCCTGCCACACTATTTCTTCATGGTCCTCTCTCCAGTATAATACTAAGAAATAATAAGACCAAAACACACTACAACATGTTAAAAGGGAGGGCAGCGGGAGCTTAGGTAACCCGCGGCTGGTGGTGGTTGAGGCTAATAACTATTGGGGCTGGTCATCCGTTGTGGCGACAGTGGTGCAACAGATGGAGGAGAGGGTAAGAGAAGGGGGGATTGGGAATCATGGTGAACAGAAGACGATTTTAAGTCAAAATACAATAACCAGAAATGTATGTACCCTACTTACCAAGGACCTTGATCACATACCAAAAAAAAAAGAAGAGAAATGTTGAAAATTTGAGACTAAATTATTACTTCATATGCTAACAATATCTTACAAGCTGCTTCGATACCATAACAGAAATTCGTACGAAACTTTCACTTTAAACCACCAACAGTTTTCATACCAAGGTATTTGCTTCTACATATTTTTCCACAGCTTTGTTTTGGTCTGACAAAAGAACACGCATGTACCTTCTTTTCTTTTGGTCAAATTCATACACGTTTGGGTGGTACGTATTGCACCTGCTCATCTTCACATAAATTCTGCAAAACGAGAAAAGAAAAATTATTCAAATCAGCTGAGATATAATGTGATTGATCAATGAAAAAGAACAGGCAAAAAGGAACCATAACCCATAGGCAAAAAATGATAAGAATCAGCAGTAATTCCGTTGAAGCTCCTATTCCCAAAGTAACAAGATTGGAAGGATCTAGAGAAGGATTTATAAACTGCTTTATTGGTAATTCTATCAATGAAACCATCACTATGAATGGGGCCATTGAGGTATAAACTACATAGAATCCGTGGTATTAAAAAACAGAGAACAAAAGAGAGCCTTTTTTATATGCTTTACGACCCACAGACTGGCAAATAAAAGAACAAACATGAGCTCAAACAACAGCTTAATGTCCAAAACCCAAATCATGGTGTCTCTTCAGGGTATTTTATTTTCCTATGTTTTCGACTTCAACCAGTGATAAAAAGAACATAATACAAAAGCTAGTCGTATTTGACTGATTTGTTAAGTACATTTCAATTCCCTTACTCCTAATGTCTTGTATGGCAGACTTTTTCATTCGTTTGAACAATATGGTAGCTAACTAGCTATTGGACAGGATGCCAACCCAAAAGCCATCATAGATCGAATTTCGAATGGCATAGATTTATTGATCGACCATTTAATTATCGTAGAAATGGTAAAAGTATGATTGTCCACTATGGAACACTGGAACTTCGTATGATTAACATCGGAAAGATATTGAATTACCCGCAAATCCTCTGAAAGAACCTCTGAAACAGCGGGAAAGCAAAAAGGGAAACCCTAACCTGATCGTAGGTCTTGACGAGGCGGCAACGGAGGTAAGCCCTAAACTCGTGGCCGAAGCTCGTCGGTATCTGGGCTGGTTGTACGCTTCCCATCCCTCTCTCTTTCTTTCAGATAATTCTGCTCTCTATTTACCTGATTCAATTTCCGTAGAATTGACTGCTAATAATATCAACTTATAGTTGAACATATTAATTCCCCACCTTCCTTCAAGATTATTCCAGAAATGTTGACGTTATTGTATTTCAACTTTTTTTTTTTTTTTTTTTTTTTGAGAATTGTTACTGCTAATAACACTTTTTTTTTTTTCTTTATCGACATGAATGAAATTCTCAAAATTTATAATTAGTTAAATTCATGTTAGTGAGCCTAATCTCCATTTTAGTGGTTAACAATAAGATTTTGAAACGAACTAGGCATGTTAATTTTACCAGCCAAAATTTGTTGATTCGTACCAAAGGAAAGAAAATTTGTGAAAAGAATGTCAAAAGTCCTACACTAATTATTCCCCCTGATTCAAATATATCTTCTATAAACAAAAACAACGGTGAAAGGTGCTCACAAGTCTGAAATAATTCTGAACACAAGACTTATTTTGACATAATAATTATATATATTTTTTAAAAGAGGGACAATCGATGGTAAACTATGGTTATCCATTCTAACCACAAGATTGACTTCCACATCAGCAACAGGTTTCAAACCCAAGACCTCTAATTTTTAATGGAAGCCTCACAATATTGGTTTCAGCAAAATAATATGACAAATAGGTTAACATTTTAGTTCATTTGATAAATTAAAAAAATGTGCATAAGTTCATATGACATGTCAAGAAAAATTTCTTTCAACGTGTCATGCTTCTATTGACCCATTAAGAGCATTTTAATTGAATCCCTAAATCACCTCCTAACTAGAATTTTGGGAGGATTTAAAAAAAAAAAAAAAAAATCTCCAATCATGCTCCATAGCCACCACGTAAGCGAATTCATGTTGAAGCTCATAAATAAGAATCAAGAAATGATCTGCAGTGGTTCTCTATAATTAATGCTAAATATTTTAATATTATTTTAAATAAATAATTAATTCCTATTTATTGTAGCCTATTTTATCTGACAAAGGGAATGAGGACGGCGACAAGGAGAAGAGAGATTGAGAGAGATGTGTTTGTAGAATTGTAAGCGAATGTATGTGTTATCTGTCCTACATAGTGCCTTTATTTATAGTAGTGAAGGAGAGAAGAAATTCCTTCATCCCCAAGGAATATAAGGTGTAATAGGAAAGGATAACTACAATCAAATCTAATCACTCCCCTTGAGTGTGTAAATACTCAAGGTAGATTCAGCATCACTCGTTGGCACTGATTATAAGGAACAACGCTTATTCTTATTAAGGTAGGAGATTGCATAAGTAAGTGAGTCTCACTAAAAAAACCCTAAGGCTATGGCAAAATCCCGAGTAGGGACAAAATTCATAATCTAAGGAAAAATGCGTAAGAAATGCAGAAGTCAAAAGAAACGTCTACGGGACGTCATCAGGGATATGACCAACCCAAGGTGGGTGTCTCGTTAAAACCTAGTTAGGTAGCAAAAACTCAGTAGGAAAAATGCTCCTAATTGTAGAGAAAAAGAGTACATTAAGATCAAGTAAGTATTCTTTAGGATACTCCCCTTGAGTTTCACACAATTCCAAAGAGAAATAGCAATGTTACAACTCAGAATGTTTACGCATACCAATTTCTTGAACAAGCTTCTGAAACGTCGTCTTCGGCAGTGATTTGGTGAAGAGGTCGGCCATATTGTCCTGTGAACGGATTTGCGTGACTTCAATCTTCTGATGCTCTTGTTGTTGATGTGAAAAGAAGAACTTCGGTGCAATATGCTTGGTGTTGTCTTCTTTGATATAACCATTCTTAAGCTATTTGATGCATGCTGCGTTGTCTTAAAAAATCATCGTAGGGACATCTACGACGAGGTAAAGATCGCATGAGCTTCAAATATGGCTCACAACTGCTCACAACCAAAAGCATTCCCAAGTTGCTTCATGTAAGGCGAGAATTTCAACATGGTTAGATGAAGTGGCAACTAAGGTCTGTTTAGTTGACCTCCAAGAGATTGCGGTGCCTGTAACGGTAAAGACATAACCTGTTTGAGAACGCGTCTTGTGCAAATCAGACAAGTATCCTGTGTCGGCATAACCAACAAGGTAAGAATCGACTCGAGAAGCAGGGGGTGTAGCATCACTCGAGGATCAGTAGGGATAGAACTAGCCTAAATCTGTAGTACCCTTAAGGTAACGGAAGATCTCATTCATGCTAGTCCAGTGTCTATGTGTTGGTGCTTTACTGTACCTTGCCAACATATTAACAGCGAATGAGATGTCTAGTCTAGTGCATTGAGTTAAGTACAATAAAGTGCCTATCGTACTTAGATAAGGAACTTCAGGCTCCAAAATCTCTTCATCATCCTCCTTCAGACGGAAGAGATCTCGTTTTGCATCTAGCGATCGAACGACTATATAAGTACTCTAAGGTTTCTCTTTATCCTCATTAAAGCGGTGTAACACCTTCTGGGTGTAGTTCGATTGATGTACTAAGATTCCATTCGAACAATGCTCTATCTCAAGATCGAGACAATATCAAGTCTTACCTAGATCTTTCATCTCAAATTTTGACTTAAGGTGCGGGGCAGTTCTTGTGAACTCTTCAAGACTTCCGATGAGATTCATGTCATCGACATATGCAACAATCACAAATCCAGAATGTGACTTCTTAATGAACACGCTAGGGCATAGTTCATTGTTCACATATCACTGACTAGTCAAATACTCACTTAGACGGTTATACCACATTCTTCCGGATTGGTTCAAACCGTAGAGTGAACGCCTCAGCCGAATTGAGAGCTTGTTTCGGGGTTTGGAAATATTTGAACCAGTCAGTGTAAGTCATTTAGGAACTTTCATATCAATTTCCGTATCAAGATCTCCATAGAGATACGCAGTTACTACGTCCATCAGTTGCATGCTTAGTTTTTCGGAAACTACCAAACTGATAAGGTAGCGAAAAGTAATCACATCCATAATGGGTGAATAAGTTTTGTCATAGTCAATCCCGGGGCGTTGTGAGAAGCCTTGTGCAACAAGATGAGCTTTGTAATGCATAATTTTGTTCTTCTCATTATGCTTCCGAATGAAAATCCACTTGTAGCCAACATGCTTCACATATGAGGGAGTAGGAGCTATAGGTCCAAACACCTTACGTTTCATAAGCGAATCGAGTTTGGCTTGGATTGCTTGTTTCCAGTTTGACCAATTAGTTCTATGTCGATATTCATCAACAAAATGCTGTTCAATGTCATCGCTTAACATGATCTCAGTAGCTGCTGCAAATGCTAATGCTTTGTCAACAATCATCTCATTTCTACGCCACACATCATCTAAGCTAGCATAATAGATCGAAATATCATGATTCTTGGGAGGAGGATTCGTCTCTTCAAGGACGCTTCCGTACTCTAAAATTTCCTCATAAGTTGGATAAAATAAGTAAGTGATAGTCGGATTCACGGTAGGCTCTTAGGGACCTTGTGCCCTGGGTGTGAATCCTTTGAACTAAGAGGTCTGCCATGCTTTTGTGTAAGGGTAGATGATTGGCTAGCTGCTAATGTATGTGGATTACCAAGATTGGTGTCCCGGGCCTCCAGGAGGGAAGTCTGTCGGACATTTGGTACATCCATCTTTGCAAGCGTATTCGCAGTTGGAATATGTGATATTGTTACTTGCACTAGATCGGTGAAAGCATCTGGCATGCTCTAAGTTATGCTCTGAACATCTAATATACGCTGTACTTCAGTTTCAGACTGAGCAATGTGGGGATCTAAATGAGACAAAGTGGGAGTCATCCACGATAATTCACGTCGTTCTTCAGGAAAGTTCTAAGTTCTAAGTTCTAAGTGGGAGACAAAGTGACAATCCATAAAAAAAAGGGTAAACAGATCGTCTATCAAAGGTTCTAAGTAACAAATAATCGAAGGAGAATCATATTCGACATAGATTCCCATCAGTAGCTGATGCCTCATTTTTGTATGTAAGGGCGATGCGATCGGCATATAGACTGCACAACAAAAAACGTGTAGATGTGATATGTTAGGTTCGTATCCGGTAACCAATTGAAGGGCACTAAATGGTTGTGTCGCAACAGGCTTCAGGCGGACCAACTTTGCTGCG